GATATATTTATAATGCAAATTCCAAATTTTCTAGAAAGCTGTAGGAAAACTATCTTACGCAAGATAACACGCATTAATTGGATATATATCTTCGTAAAGGTTTATCAGAATGAAGCTAATAGTGTGCTATTCTCACCACAAACATGATCCAAGCCATTTCATTTTAACTTCAAGAGTTTTTAACTTAAATTCTTCTTACTGGATCACATTTCTAAATGTAGTCTTTAGTCTCTTTACCTGGCTTATATGCAGGAAGAAGATGGCTATCTGTTTTCTCCCCTCTCCTTCAGTTTTACTGCTGAGACCTGCTATTTTAGTCATTCATACCAGAACATCATTCTTCATTTTTAAAAAAGGTATGTTTTGTACTTTAGATCAATGTTGCATGTTGTATTTTATAAATATAAGAGTTTTATGGACATTAGTATTTAGAAAGTTGCCTGTAGATCAACAGTCCATATTGAAAGGTTTAAGGAAAATATTGATGCTTGTGTATATACTGCAGTCACTCTGGCACAGAAGTAATGAATGAATGCTGCTATGGACAAATTAGTTGCACCTGAGAATCATTTAAACAGAAACAAAGATTCCAATCCCAAGGAGGTAACTTGCAGAAAAGTTTAGCAAGGGATTTCCTAGTTCAGTGCATCAACTCTTAGCCTACTGACTAGGCGAGAGTTAAGATACTAGGTCTAAATACTGTAAGAAAAGTCAATGCATCTTTTTTCCTCCTAACTGTAAAAATGTTCACAAGTGTTGTTACATACATTCCATTTAGGTATTTAGAGATAACACACCAAAAAGACATAAATTGGAAGCCTAATTTCTGAAGTATACCTCAGATCTCATTTACCTAATTCAGTATTAATTTTATCCAATATAAAGAATATTTATTGCGATGTAACATCAATTACTTAACAACAAGACAGCATAGCTGTAATTTTTGTGACTGTAGTGGAAAGGTGCGCAGGTCTTCACATCAAAAGACATGCATTGTATGTTTTTTGTTTTTAACTGGGATATACATGGTGTTTTCTCAAACTACATGCACAGTTATCCTGTTTCTGGGGGGATCTGACAGGCAACATACCTCGGAAATCTTTAAATACTAGCAAGCTCAGCAAGTAGAGTTAGGTTAGAGATCTTTAGGGTGAAGTAGTCAATGCAGCTTTTATCCATGATAAGAATACCTGTGGGAAGGGTGAACAGTAGAAAGAGGAAAAAGAAAAAAAGATCTGCACTTCAAAGATTCACTTCAGATGAAGCAGATGATAGAGAGAAAATCCCCATAGATTATTGTCGAAGCTGTAGGTGAAATTAAAAGTTGCATCTCCAATATATGCATTTGCCTGAAGTAATCTCTAGGTTTACATACTCTAGTGTGGACGCCGCTGAAAAGATACATATTACTTTTTTTTTTTCTTTAGTCTCAGTGTGGTGGGACTTTAAACTGAAGGTCTGTTAATACTCAGATCACTTTTATAATCCAAAGTATTAAGTGTCCAGCATGTAGCAGTCTTGATTATATTCTGGTCAGGATGTGGGAAAGACACTGTTAGAAACAAAACAATCAGTTCACTTAGACAGTCCCACAAACATGCTTTATGGCATCTGCCTCCTACTCATTTTAAGTGAGGTTTTACAGTGACACACTGGTGAAGATTCGTACACAACTGCAGGCAGATGCCCATGACTGATTCAATTGTTTGCACTGACACTCACAATTGCTGTAATTGCAACTGATGTGATTCAAGCTATTGCAAAAAAACAGACAGAGTGAAACCAACATTGTTCCTCAGAGGTTTCATTAGTTTAAACACAGAAATCCACTGACTTTTCTCGCTATAAATTCATCTCAGCATTTCATTTTGTTACGTATGCAATACTTTCCTCATTGATTTAACATATGAAGATTCAAGAAGTCTACTTAAAAACAGCGCTTGTACAATGAAGAGATAATACCTTTCAGCCTCATTACTTATTAAAAATTTTTTTTAAAAGTGATTAAAAGCTAAAGCATTTTTAGAAAATCAGTAAGGCCTTAAAGTTGCATCAGTTCTAACTTTCCTGAATGCTCAGTGTGCACCCATCATTCCTTCTTTTTTTTTTTCCGTCATAACTGCTTAACATCATTAACGATTCAAAGCTGTTGCTTCTGAAGAGGAATGACCATCTTCTACAGTCTATGGAGAAAAAGAAAGTGCTTGGTTTAGAACTGGGCAGTATCTAAAACCTTCGCAAGAGGAGTTTACCTCGTAGCCTGTCAAGCAAGTTCTGATGAAGTACTGAAGACTTCCTTCAGACTGCCTACACTACTGATGGCTCAGTTCAAAGGAATTAACAGATGATCCGTGTAGGAGTTGAAGATTTAATATATTCCCTCTCCACTTCCAAAAGTAAAGTGACTTTTGCAGACATATTCCGGGGCAAATGGAAATCCCTTTGCAACATAAACCATATTCTGAACACATTTATAGTATCTTCATCCTGGACACTGGGAAACATCCATTTAAATGCTGGAGACTGTGATTATATCTAATACCAGCTAATATCAGCTAAAAGCAAAATAAACTCCAAAAACTTTACAAAAAAGCAAAAATGCCGGTTTCTGTCCTGTGCTCTCATTTAGATTAGCACATAGTGATAGAAAAAATGCTACTGTTTCAGCTGGAATTCCCCACTCAGGTACCTGAGTTCACTTAGATTGATCAAACGGGCCATGCAAGATGCAAGGTGGTAATGGACGCAGCAAAATACTTAACTAAATTTTGATTTTTTTTAAATAACGGACACCATCCACTCCCAGTGTTTCGCATCTCTGATGCATTAGGCTTTCCAGGATACTGGAGAAGAGACACCAAAATCAATAGCACACTGCATCAGAAAGGAGTCCTGAGAAAGGAAAGGCAAGTGTTTTAAATGTCTCCACTTACAGCAAAGCATTAGAGAAGGTCAGACGCCCAAATAACTCTACTACAGAGTGACTTGTAAGATGTGATGCTTTGAACACGAGGCTCACGTCCATCTCATAGCACATAGCTAAGGAAATGCACCTTGCATATAAGCAGTACAAAAGAGCTTCACCCTGCGAGTTCACGGGCAGACTAGAGCCAGGCAGCTATGTGTAGGGTCTGAACAGGAGAGAGGCCAGGACAGGGCCCTTCCCGCACCCAGGGGAGCACACCCTTGGCAGAGCTCTGTCCTCAAATGAAGTCATAAATAATTTTTGTCTGTTAAGAACCTGCCACATGTTTTCAGTGGTGGTTGACTACATTGCTAGAAAATGGTCTAGTATAAAGAGCTCAGTGAAAAAGCAAGAGGGAGAGCACATGTAGAAATGTGGTAGGTACCCCAGTAGGACCTACTGAGTGGGAGGCTGTGTGACTAAACAGCTGCGATCACATCACAGTGCTGCTGGACGAGGGGATGCTCCTGCGCTATAGGCATGGCACCCTAAAAACCACAGCTGGCGAAGTCCCTGATAAAAGTGATTTTCTCTCTGATGCAGTCAAAACACAGGAGCAAGTCTTTGTACCAGGCCAGCAGAATAAGACATCGCTGCCGCCAGTATTTTTGTTTAGATACCTGATCAAGTTCAGAACCATACTGCAGAACGCACCATACAAATCCATGTCTAGCAGTCACAATCTCAGGCAGAAAGAGGAATAAACATTAGTCCCGTTCTGCAAAGAAGGATCCAAGTATTCAGGGTCATATAGGAAACTAAGGCAGTGACAGCAGCTGAATTCAGATGCCCTAGGTGCCGGTGATAGCTTGAATACAAAATCCCCCTCCATACCACGCTGAACCATACATTCCAGAAACCTAGTACGTTAAAACTAGATCTTACCTTGTTTACCGCTAATGTCTAAAGAAGTCAAGAACCTGTGTATGCCCTGCAGCCTTTGCCTGTAAGTAGAAACATGAATAAATCCTGCCATCCTGTGCACCAGGACATGCACATACTTACTTGTGGGAAGTAAGACCATGCTACCACAAAATAATTAAAATCCAATTTAAGTTTTAATTCCTCTGACATAGATGACACAATTCCGGCTTCAACAATTTATTACGTCAGAACAGTACCAGACTTGAGTTCAAAATATACTTTAAACCGGTTTATAGCCCCCAAAGCAGCATTTGGTTTTCCCAAACTAATATTATCGGACAAGAGTGCATTATTACTCACACAGTTAGAAGACCACA